TCCAATAGAGAATCGAGCCTGCAACCCGGGCATGTGCCCTTGACCAGAATTGAACCTGGGACCCTTCAGTCCGCAGGCGGATGCTCTATCTACTGAGCCAAACCAGCTAGGGCTCTATCTGTGGAGGGCTAGGGGGTGCGGGTACTCACTGGGCCCAATGGAATGTCCCGCGATGTAGGAGAAGACGCAGATGACGCCGAGGTAGGACAGCCCATGGACCGCGATCTGTGGGGAGAGCAGGGCTGTCAGTGCCGGACAGGCCTGGCCGGGCCTCGGAGAGCTCAGGGCAGGTGAGTCCACCACACCAGGCGCCTTCCCGCCACAGGGAGGAGCCTGGATTTCTGCTCACCCACGGGGGAGGGCCTCAAGGGCGCTGGGCAAGAGCGGGAGGAAGATGAAACCAGGGCTGGCCAGCATTCCAGCTCCCAGAGGCTCCCTCCAGCCCTACCTGCCTGCCATGCAGTCACTCACTCTCCGCCCGTCACAACGTTAACCATTAATCCCATGACACGCCTGTGAGCGGGACATTATTGTTTCAAGCCTAGAGATGTGGACTCAGCACCGAGAGCCTGAACTCGGACCAGGAGGGCCCTGGGGGGTCGAGCGACAGCCCAGGTGAGACAATCAGCAGGATGGCGCCGGGGCCAGGACTCCACGCTCGCTGAGAGGATCCTTCTAGAAGCCCGGGGACCAGGAGAGCGGGTGGGCCATCTCCCCACAGCCAGGACAATGGCCGGCACAAAACCAGGGGAACAGACTTCAACCGACCCAGCTGCACAGGTCACTGTCACCACTCTCTTCCACTCTCTCTAGAAAATCAATGGGAAAATGTCCTCAGGCGAGGATTAAAAAAACAAAACAAAACAAAACAAAAAAACAGCAACACACAATACTTGCATTGAAGGCGTGTGGAGCCGGACCGGCTGAGACCCACCCTGGTCTATTGGAGCCGTTCTGTTACGGGGACCTCCCACCCGCCTGCGGCTCTGGGTCCTGAAGGTGGGGAGGGGGTGCCGGGTGCCGGGTGCCAGGAAAGGAACCAGACCTGGAAGAGGAGCGCCAGCGTCAGCACCAGGCAGGCCGAGCCGCAGATGCCATAGCCGACCAGCAGGAGGAGCCGTCTGCCCAGCCACTCCACGGTGCCGGCCTGTGGGGAGGGAGGGAGTGAGGAGCCTCCAGGCCCAGGGCGCCCGGAACGCTTGGCCCTCCACCCCTTCTACATTTTCTAGTTCCTGCATTTGATGCTTTGCCATCTTGGGGCCCTGCTGACCCCTGGAAGGACTGTTCCTACGTTGGTTGGCCAGTTTCTAGAGAGAGCCAACGTCGCCCGTGAATGTGCCTTTCATGTGAAACTAACCCATCCAGAGCCCGCACCTCCGACCTCCTCCTCCAGGGGGCGCTCACACCCAGGGCTGCTGTCCCCCTGTCCTGATCACCCAGGGCAGGTACCAGACAACCCAGGCAGCCCCACATCCCAGAACCCCTGAAACTGTTCACAGGGGCCGGGCCTGAGCCTGCTCACCTGTCTTCCCACAGAAACCACAATGCAGGCTCTTGCCCGCGTTCCCCTGCTCCCTCTGCCTCCCGGCTGACCCTGGTGCCTCCAGCGTGGCCCTGAGTGGCCTGGCCTGCCCCTCGCTCCTCACACAGTTTGGAACTAGGAGTGGCAGACTGTCTTTCCAATGGCAATCACCTCCTGCTCTGCCGGCCTCCCCCTCCCTGAACGATAATAAATCCTACGTTTTAGAATGGCCCCCCTGACACCTGCTGCTCCAATTCAGGCGGTGAGCAGCCAGGATGTGACCTCCCGCCTCGAGGCCCAGTCACCCCACCCACGTCCTCCTCCACTTCCCGGACACGCACCTCTCTCAGCCCGCACCCTCTCCGATGTTCCCAACTTGGGCCACGCTGCCCCGGCTGGCCTTCCTTCCTCTCTCGGAGTTCTAAGGCTTTTCCAGTTCTACCGCATCCCTACCGCCAGCGCCAGCACCGGGGCCACACCGAGGCCAACTCGGTGGCGGGCCCTCTACGGTCACTGCGTGCACGTCACTTCCAGTCCTGCAGGAGGGACTGTCCCCGCCGTCCAGCGAGGCCCACAGGGGCGGCCCACCACCGCGTGCAGGTTAGAGAGAGAAGGCCAACTTCGTCTCTGTGCCCGGGACCCACACCAGCGTCCTGGGTATTGCAATCGCTGTAACCATTTTACAAAGGAAGAAACGTGTGCGTGCGCGTATCCCAAAGTCTGTGTCCCTCAGTGACCTGGGACCGGTGTCACCAGCACCTCAGTGGGCTCTGTGGGGTCCCTGTCTGCCTGCGGGGCACCTGCCAGGATCCCCCCTCCCCCAGTGGAAAGGGTATTCCCGGTCGCTCACCGAAACGCCGGTCATGACTATGTTGACCACGCCGGCGCCCACGGTTACATACTGGGAGTGAGCGGCCGATATGCCGGCGGATGCGTAGATCATGTCTGCGTAGTAGTTGATCTGGAACAGAAGCCCAGGGCTGTGAGGACTGGCACACGGGGTCGGCCACTGGCCTGCCTTTCCTGACTCTACAGCAAACAGTTTGGGAGGCCCAGGGGCCCCTGGACAGGAGGGAGGCAGCTGGGCAAAGAGCTGGGACGTGGTGTTAGGAGACTGGGATGCAGCCCGGCTGATTGAATCCAGCGGCTTTCGAATGGACCAGAAGTTCTGAGGGAGAACCTGGCACAGGCTGCAGGGCCGATCGCTCATCTCA